TGCAGCCACAGCTGTTAATGCCGAGTGCGCGGAGCTGATTCCAACTCGGGGTCACCCTCTGGGTCAGAGAATGGCCCTCACAGGGTGTTCAAGCTACAATCCTTACGGGCATGGACTCTCACATCTTTCCCTCATGTGCCAGCTTCTGATTTTGATTCACCAACTTAGGGTTCGTAGGCAAGTACTAAACCACTGCACCACCAGCACTCCTCCAAAATTAGAAAGTGGGAGGGGGAGACGCTTCACATCTGGCTGCGTGATCTAGCTCCTTCCAGAGCAATAATCACTGGCTTCAGAGACACAAAAGCACATTACAGTACCAGGCCCACCCTTGTCCATCCATCCCGAGTGGAGAGGACAGCAGAGAAGAAGTCTTTCAAAGCAAGGTGTAATCGCAAAGCACAGTAAGATTTGATGATTTCAGATCCCTGTAATTAAATTAACCTCTTCAAGAGCATTTAAACCTAGCATGAGTTAGCTTGTTCTTGTTGTTATGTGCTTCAAGTCACCTGCAACGCATAACAACCCTATGTACAACAGCCCTAAACTCTGCTCTATCCTGTGCCAATCTTATTGTCTCTGACACACCTTCCCCTATAGCCCCAGTGACTGAATCAATCTATCTCATCGAAGGTCTTCCTCTCTTGCGCTGTCCCTCCACCCTCCCAAGCATGATGTCCTTCTTCAAGGACTGATCCCACCTTGCAACATGTCAGACAACAAAGTATGTCAGACGAAGCTTCAGGATCTTCGCTTCCAAGGAGCAGCCTGGATTCACCCTCTCCAGGATGAACCTGTTTGTTCTCCTAGCAGTCCATCGTATATGCAATACTCTTCGCCAGCACCACAGCTCAAAGGCATCAACTCTCCTTCTATCATCCCTAGTCATTGCCCAGTTCTCTGATGTATAGCAAGTAATTGCAAAGACCATGGCCTGAATCAGGCGCACCTTAGTCTCCAGACTGACATCATTGAGTTAGCTTATCAAGCAAATAAGTTATGCATATATCAACCTCAAAGGTATTTAAGATATCATCTTTCAAGGGGCTCTTAGCTCCTTTAAGTAACATCCAGTTTCCTATGCTCCATCATTTTCATAACTAAAAACAACCTGATGGATACTGTCACAGAGACTGAGATTCTGCTACTTGAAAGTTAATCAGGTAATTCACTCATTAAATGCTTGCTTTCTCTGAGCTAGGTAGTGTGTCAAGCTCTTTCTAAAACCTAAGCCCAGCCCTTTCTGAAAGGTATTATTCTTCCCATTAGGGCACTGAGACTCGGGGAGCTTGCCCAAGGTCACTGAGTTACAAGTTGGGAACACGTGGGTTCAACTATAGAGATAATAACCAGTGGTCAGTGATGAGACCCTGGCTCACGGGGACTCTACTCGCTAGAGCAGAATTGTGTTTCCTAAAGCTTTTAGTGATGGCTTCTTCAGATGCAGACTGCCTGGCAGCTCTGTGGACTCGAACCTCTAATCTTTCCATCATCAGCCACGTGTGTGAACGGTTTCCACCCACCGGGAGATACCCAGGAATAATAAATGAGTAGCAAAACCAGAGAGTTCTGTTTCGATCTCATCTACAACGGCAGCCTAATTTCATTACAGTATCAGTGTTTCCTCTTGAACATTCTTGTTAGTATAGCCAGAGCCGCTTCCACATCATTCCACATTAAGCCGCTGTCGTCGGACTGATTCCAACTGGCACTACCTCAACAGGACAGAGCGGAACTAACCCTCCAAGCTTCCAGAACCATCGTCTTTATAAGAAGCAGACAACCTTAGCCTTCCCCTGTGGAGTGAACGGTTGAGTTCAAACCATCAACCTTTCCATTAACAGATGAACCCTTAACCACTGTGAACACAGTCTCGGGGGTGGGGGGAAGGTGACCCCATCCAGCTTAAGCCTCATTCTTGTCAAACTCTGGGGGCTCTTGCCTCGGTGGGCTCCAGGGCAAAGGATAAAAGAAATCACTGTACTAAATTTTATAGCACACGCTGACATAACATTTGGGAGTCCTAAAATATCATGATTTGGTTAATAGTAACCAACATTTTATAGCACTTTCTCTTTATTTTACAAATAGTTTCCCCACATGTGGCCACCCTGAATCTCATTTCTCCCTTGTTCTGACAGAACCAATGAGTCTATGTCACTGACAACACTGTTCTCCTATCGAACAGAAGCTGTTTCAACTTACGGGTTTGTCTGACTTCATAAACTGCGTTAGTTTATTTTCCCTGACACCCTAAATTCGTTGTTCTTTCCTATTCCCTCTACATTTCCTGGTTCTGGACAGGATATTCTGGTACCATTTCCCACCCAACCATTCACAGGAAGCACCTGATTATCATGGGAAAAAAAGTCTTCGTGCCAAATCAAAGACTAATTTTATTTTCCAAAATTCAGCAGCTCCTGGCATTTGTGAAGGGTGTCCACACACCCTGAGGCCAGCCTTCTGGAGAACTCAGTTGACCTGCGACTGCCCAACCACCCACACTTTTGGTGTAGACTTTTCCAGGCTTGTTTTCTCAAAAGCTCCTGACAATTGCCTGAGGTAGTAAACCTGCAGGAGACCTCACAGAGTCCATCACCCTGCACGTCCCAGGGACCTGACTGAAGTCGTGGGGGCAAGAGCAGGCTTCGAACACGCCTCCTTCCTGGGTCTTCTCACTCTCGTATGGGAAGTGTATTCAGAAGAAGGAGCCTAATTTCTCTCATCATGATCAACACTGGGTTCCCGTCATCCTTCTTTTCCATACACTACAGACTCTAAATGGATCTCTGAAATGAAATAATCTTGCCTTAGTATTACCGTCAGCAGCTGTGGTGACATAGTCCATAAGGAGCTGCTCTGCTAACCCAAAGGTCATGTCTCTCTGGTGATTTGAATCCACCAGCTGAGAATGGCCAATCTTCTCCAGTGGGGTTTACAGCCAATATTTTGGGGGGGTCATAGCTGACCCTATGAGTCGGTTCCAATTCGATGGCAATAAGTGTGTAAATGAGTGTGTAAGTGTCATCTTGCATAAGTCCATGGCTCAAGGTCCTGGAGAGAAGTTCAACAACAGTGTGTGACTGCCGTGGAAATCGCTCCCACTTTTAAAACATCTTGTCTCCTCTCCGATTTCCCCTGTAGATGGAAACTTCTTGAGATCTGAAATGGTCTTAACTCCCTCTCCTTTGCCCTCATCTGATTGTATAATCATTTCTTTTAAACATCAAGTTTCTTTTTCTTCTGACTGTGGTAATGCACACATAAACAAGGCCAGAGTTAAATGTCCCAAGCTCGCACAATTAATAACAGTGCATCTAAATTCCAAAATCAATCTCCATAATAGTCTATGTGTTTCCTACTGCCAAAGGGGCCCTTTAGAGTAGTGAGAGAAGATCTTCACCCTGAAACCCACAGCGTCCCTTTTCAGCAGGAAGTAGCTAAGAGAATACGCCATCCCCTTTTCCTTATAAATCAGGGTGAAGTCTCTCTCAGGGAGGAGTGATAGGGAATGGCAAAGGACACACTGACAAAGAAGATTAATCAGAACTGGCTTTGACAAGCACTGTGGCAATTGGACAATTAAAACAGACATTCGGATGGCGCTGGAAGAAGAACAAACTGGGGAGGAGGGTGGAGAAAATAGTGCAACAATGAATGAATGAAAACTCAAAATCTCTGTAAATGTTCATTAAAACTAATAAAATTTAATAATAATTAAAAAAATGTCCCAAGCTGATCAAATGCTGAGAGAGAAAACAGAGAGAGAGTGTGTGTGTTACAGGGAAGGAGGAACTGAGGGAGGGAAGACAGGAAAAGGAAGAGAAAAGGAGGGGGAGAATACAAAGAGAAAGGAAAAGAGAAAGGTAGAAGGAGATAAAGAAAGGACAGCTTGTCCTCAATAAGACAAGAGTCCATGCCTCCTCAGGCCACTAAAGTCCCTGCTGAAGGGCCCTGCTGCAGGGTCCACCATGACACAGGAACAGCATTTGGCCAGAGAGCATTGCTCAAAGTCCTCAGTGGTGACCACAAAATTCAAAACCTGGGGAAACCCAGGGAGGCCCAAGAGAAATGTGGACAGGATGCCAATAAGCGACTTGAGTCCAAATACACACATTTGGGAAAGACTGCACCATAAACAGTTCTGCAATTACAGCCAGATTTCAGCTGACTCAGAACAAGGTTAAGAAAACCAGAAAGTGTAAGCCTCCAAACTGAAGAAAAGATGGCATTTTCGGAATCCTTAAAGCTCAAATCCGACTGGACTGAGGAACGACAAGACACGGGTGTCCCCAGTGACCAGGCAACAGAAGGTTCTCGGCAGGAAGCCTGAAACACAGCTTCCCTCAGGGCTCCGCAGGTCTTTGGTGAGGAGCTCTTACAACCGCAAACATGGCACGTCCGATTTCTAGCCCAGGTCGGGGCATGAGGGCTGTATGAGAATCAAAGCCAGGCTTCAGGTATTTTCAATGTTGGGTTTTTGTTTTTGTGTAGCTGCTAGCTTTTGTGTCAACAATCCTGGTCTCCTCCTGCTTCAGCCACAGGACAACAGTCCACAGGTGTGGCCAGGAGCCATCAAAAGCATCTAATGACCATTTGGGAGCTGAATGAGACTACAGAGGCCATCTGAGCCTAATGAGATGACAATTCTCTTTCTGATAGGATTTTTCCCAATACCACACAGCATCTGGTACCCCCAGTAACCCAAAAGTTTGCTTTTCATTGGTTGAAATTCTGTGACTTTTGTTCACTAAAATGTCATGAAGTTTGGTAAACACCCAGCATGGCACTGTGGCGCAGACAGGTAAGGCTGGACAGAGCCTGAAAGCACTGTCTTCTTCCCAACTGCCTGGGGCACCACAGAGTCCTCCCCAGCGTCCCTGGCAGGCAAACAGTACTGTCTGCTGGTTAAGAGTATGGAAAGCAGGGGTCATGGAGAGGTGGAGGGTCCTTAGGACTGTTCAGGACGTGGTGTAGAAGGACAGTCACCCAGCACTCACCTTCATAGCACGGGATCAGCGTCCTGCCTTTAGCCTGGAGGTTGGACGGGATGATGTAGCAGAAGCCGTGTGGCAGGATGTGGTCTGTTTCATAGTAGACGTTCTTCCAGCGATGGGCACAGGCCTGAAGAGACAGACAGAACCTCTGAGCAGGAGAGCTGCCCCAAGGAGTTTGCAAAGCAGACCCCTGGCTCTGCCAGACTCATCTGCAGGCCAAGAGGAGCAGAGGCCCGGAAAACCATCCCCTCCCCTCCTCGCCCACACCTCACACCAGGCGTTGGAAGACTGTGTGAATAAGATCAAAACCCCCAGGCAGCCGTGATACTACCTGAAGAGTAATAAGCAAATGTTCAAACGCATGAGAGCCTGGCTACCAGTGGGCTCAGCGCTGGGAAAGAAAGAGGCAGCCTTACAGGACCGAGATGCAGGAAGCGCGAAGAGCAGTCAGTCACCGCTTTAAAAACATCTGTTCCTGTCAAGTCCGTTCCAATTCATGGGCATCCCATGTGCTCAAATGTAAAAACACATTGCTGGCGAGAGGGAACTGACTCGAGCTGACCCTCGGCAAGTTTCCCGAGGCTGTAAATCCCACGGGAGGAGACTGCCCATCTTGCTCCATGCTGGTGGGTCCCCCGGTGTTACAGAGCAGAATCGTTACATAGCATCTTCTTGACTGTAATCTTTATGGAGGGAGACTGCCAGGGCTCTCCAACAGGGTGTGTCTGGCAGTTCAGACCACCAACCTTCAGTTCACTGAACCCTAAACGCTTGTGTCACCTGAGAATCTAATCGCACCTCATTGTGAAGTAACTGAAAGTGCTCTGGGTTTTTTTTCCCCTACTTTATTTTTACTTGATATTCATCTGCATTCAAAATTCATATACATTATGCACCATTCATGTACACTGTATTCCATTCACTCTTACATTCACATTGTGTTTCAAATGATCACTCGTATACATTGTATTTTATAAACTTAACCCCCATTCATCTATGCCTACTATTACCCTATCTATTCAGGTCCCCACAGACACCCCATCCTACCCCTGCTCATCAAACTCTGTTACTCAGTGATTTCTCCCCTAGTGATTCCTCCCCTCCTCTCTGTTCTCCTGTCCCCCCTCCTCTTTCCCATTTGAACCCTTATCCACATTTTACTAGCTATCCTTCTATTTTTACAATTAGTTTTATACAGTATTTGTCCTTATAAGACTGAGTTAGTTCACTCAGCATAATGCTCTCCAACTTCTCCCAAGTTATATAGTGTTTTACAAAATTATTGCTCCTTCGTGCTGCATAGTATTCCACAGTGTGAATAATTTCTCAATCCACTCATTTGTTGATGGACATCTGGGCTGTTTCTATTTTCTTGCTATTGTAAATAATGCTGCTATGAACATTGGTGTACGTCTCCTCAAAGTGTATTTTAAAAAATGTTTCCTTCTGAGCTCTGGCGGCCTGGTGGCAAGAAACTGCACTGCAGTCCCAGAGGAACATGGTTCAAATCCACCAGATGCTATGCTGGAGAAGGAGAGACAGTCTCCTCCAGTACCAGTCAGATCCGATTTGATGGTATACACACAAAATTAAAAAAAGAAAAAAATTTTAAAAAAGTTTCATTCCGACTCAATTCTGATGGCTTACAAACTTAAACTGCTTATCATTACTTAATTAGCAAGTTTATTATACTCTTGTTTCTAGAGTTAAGAAGTCTTGGTGGCATATTGATTAAGTACTTGGCAGCTAACCAAATGGTCAGTAGTCTAAACAGAAGAAATATTATGGCCTTATAAAGCTTCTGGAATCTTCTACTCTGTCCTGTGAGGTCACCAGGAGTCAGAATCATCATGACAGCAAAGGATGGATTTGGAGATTCAGCAAAGCCCTTCTGTGGTGAGGCACTATAACAAGAGGCAGATTTTATAAGGGCACAGACTCTGACAACCAGATGCATGCTAGAAGCTTCTAAAAAAGGATTCATCACATTTCCATCTAGTTTACTGTCTGCTCATTTTTATTAAGTGCCATAAACTTTTTAAAGAATGATCTCTGAGAGGTCCTAGGGCATCCAAATACTCCAGTTCACATGAAACTCGGATGAAGGCATTCCGTAAGGTCAAAGCACCAAAGGCAAATCTGTGTGGGAGAATGTGGGAACGATAGATCTGAAGAGAAATCATAGAAAGAAAAGGCTCCATTTAGTCTTGATTGTCATTGCAAACACCCACACATATGCACATTATAAAAAGAAAAGAAAAATCCTAGGATGTCTCAGCACTAATCAGTCTGTCCGTCCCTCCAAGGGAGTTCTGTGTGAGGGAGGAAGACCTCACCAGGGCAGAGCTGGGAGGGCAAACAGCAAGAGGGAAACGCACTTCAAAAGCCCCAAGACTTGCTCAAACCCCAAGAGATTACAAGTAGCTGTAAGAGAGAGGGGTGGTAAGAGAGAGGGGCAGCAGAACATGACCTCGAATCGTCCAGATCTGACACATATCAAGGTGGAAGGATAGTTTTCTGCTCAAAACATGAAAAAGATGACGAAATGGACAATCAATCCCAAGGGTCTTTTTGCAGTTGGCAGTGAACTTCCTACAGACTACATACACCACCAGAGCTCAAGTGTTTTCTTATATGAAAACTGAATGTCCTTCCTGGGGGCTGAAGTGGGCCCCTCTTGCTGGCCTGGCTACAAAGTCATATGAGTGCCCCCCCTGCTCCCACTGTACCTCACGGCTCCACCAAATATATAGATGGCCGTAGCTTGCTTTTTTTTTTAAATTTAGGCTAAAACCCCAGTTTGTTTGTTCGTTTATTCATTCATTCATTTTAATGAACACTTACAGAGATTTTGGATTGCCACTCATTCATTGTTGCATTTTTCTCCCTGCCCCATCCCCCCAGTTCACTTTTCTCTTTGAAAAGTAAAAGAAATATTCCTTCATTGATATACAATGCCCCCCTACCCCTGCCTCCAGATGGTCGGAGCTTTTACCAAGGTCCACATGGCACAACCTGGCCAAGACTTTGCTGCTGAAAACAGGGAGACGAGAGCAGCAAGGGGTAAGGCTATGGTAGGACTGTGATACCCTAAAAGCCTCTGGAAGCCCCACCACTGAAAACAGGAAGGAGGGACCAGGAAGACATGGGGAGGGACATGGGACATTGGGAATGAGGGTCTAAGAACGTTCCTGTAGGGAAACTCCATCGAGGTGCAAACCATGGCATGCGCCCAGTCGTGCAAATGTGTTCACTTTCAAGAAAATGTTAGATAAAAGTGAGATAGGATGAGAGAAAACAAAAATACCCAGGAAACAGCAGCAGATGCAGCCTCTGCTCTGTGGCTTTGAAAGACTGGGCAGATGGGAAAGCCTTGGAGAGATAGGGGCAGCCCTGACGTTTCGAAAGGAAACAAGCAGGAGATAAGAGACACAGGACTCTGTTTCCGCCCAGAAACAATCTAGAAGCTCACAGTATTTGTTGTCTGAGCCTTAGAAACTGATGAGAAGCAGAACACCAAACTTGACCGTTTTAAGTTGCCCACCGAGACCAAGCAGGAGCCCGTGCTGGGCAGGGTCACTGGTTACTGTGAGAAGTGACCTTTCTTCCGGTTTCTTTCAAACATCTTCTCTCCCACGTGGGAGCGAGGGTGAGGGTGTGAGAATGTTTCCAATAAGCCCCAACTACCAGCCGGCCTTGCTGGGTGGGTTCTGATCTCAGGCAAATCTGTCTGACCCATTCCCGACGTTGTGTTCACATCCAGTGTCATTGCTCCCTGAGAAGATACTAGAAGGACCACAATGTCCAAGGAGCCAAGACTGGCAGATGCTAACCCAACACCTCCTTGCCAGATGGGTCCACGCCCTGAGCCTAGACCATGGTCCAAAACATGCCATTGTCACTGAGACACTTCGCTCCTCGTCACAGCTTTCAAATTCTTTCATCTGTAATTCACTTTGAAATCAGAACCAGATGCCATCTGCTAAAACAGCAAACACCTCCCCGTTGTTGTCTTCAAACCCAAGTCTTTGCTTCCTAAGACAGCACCCTGGGAGAAACAGATCAACGCATCACACTCCCAGCTCCCTCCTAATTTCTCAAAAATGTCTTTGAACATCACGTATCTTCCTATTTTTAATTTTCAAGAAATGAATATTTGCCTTCCATCAAGTTTTAGCACGTAGAACTAAGAAATCAAAGAACAAGTGCATAAGGAAGCTCTGGTGGCCTCATGGCAAGAAGCTGACTGCAATCCCAGAGGTACGCAGTTTGAATCCACCAGACGCTGTGCTGGGAAAGGAGAGGCAATCTCCTCTTTATCAGTCAGATCCGATTTGATGGTGGTTGTTGTTATGTGCCATCGAGTCGCTTGCAACTCATAGTGACCCTATGTACAACAGCCCTAAACCCTGCTCTATTCTGTTCCAATCGCGCTGCCTCCAACATACTCATCCCGATTACCCCAGTCACTGAATCAATTCACCTCATAGAGGGTCTTCCCCTCCTGTGCTGTCCTCCGCCCTCTCCAAGGACCTGCCTCTCCTTACAACATGTCCAAAGTATGTAAGACGAAGCCCCAGAATCTTTGCCTCCAAGGAGCAGCCTGGTTTAACCCTCTCCAGGATGAATCTGTTTGTTTTCTTGGCAGTTCAGGGTACATTCAGTACTCTTCTCCAGCACCACAGCTCAAAGGTGTCAATTCTCCTTCTATCCTCCTTGATCATTGTCCAACTCTCTGATGCATAACAAGTGATTTGATGGTACACACAAATAAAAGAACAAGGGCATAGATATATGAGGTCATCGAACTTTAAATATGAAACCAGGTTGGCATCTTGGAGTCAATCAGCGTCTCCAAGGGGCATTTTCCAGCATCTCATTTCAAGTTCCCATGAGCCACTTAGAACTGACACCAAGAGAACCTGATGACTGATTCTGCTTCTAATCATCACCCTTCAGGTCCTCTGTTGCTCAAACATACTTACAGATATTATCCCACTGCTTTGGGAGATCTAACAGTAGGGATGAAAAAAAAGATTGAAGATTTGGTCTCAGCCCCCATGTGGCTTCCACAAAAGGTAAATACACGCAAAGAAATTCTGCACACAACATGAAGGTTGAATTCCT